AGAAGAGCTGAGGTGGTGGGGTGGGGTTCTTTGAATATTCACAAAACTTAACTTATTTTTGTTGACAATTTATTCCATTAGCACCTGGGTAGTTTGACCCGTTTTGACCCGTGCTGCCATGCCTTCTCCTGTTACTCATTTAACTAGACAGTCTAGACTTCATAATTGCTTATCCCCACTTCAATTTTAACCTACCTTTTCTGACAGTTTAATGCATTTCGAATATGTCATTTGCAAAAGATTATGATTTACCGTCTGCCAAAAAAACAAAAAACATATAATTATGAGTCAAGCATTGGAATATAGTAAAAGTTCACTCAACACTAACTGCTCGCAACTAGGCTTGACGTTTTTCCAAAACTTGTCATTTTGAAGCACTAATATTACTTTGTAATAGTTTTTAATTATATACGTTTTCTATCCAATTCCAATTTTGCAACCTTTATAATTAGGTCCAGAATCATTAATGTGGTAACTATCAGTCTATCACTATAGTTGTAACAATCCCTTGCCAACATGTATCCAAGCCACAAAAATGACTTATAATTCTTTTTTTTTTTTTTCNGAAAAATAATTCTCATCAAAACTATGAGAAATAGTAAATCAAGAAAAAGAAAAAGAAAATATATATATAAAGAAAAAAAATGAAACGAAAATTGTCAAAAACAAGACTTGTAGACTGAGACTGTGACCATAATATAACTAAAATATAGCATATGATAATTAAGATTTTGTTTGGTCTCTCATGGGAATTTGTGGTCCGTAGCTGTAACGTTTCTATTTCTTCTTTTTTTTTTTGGGATAATTGTTAGTTTAGTATCTGTACTATGAGGTAATTGTGATTTTGGTATCTATTCTTTATTTATTGCGAAAATACAACATGATTTTTACGTTTTTACGAATTTGGTACCTAGTATTGACGTCGGTTTGCATGACTTTACGTTTCGGGCTCGTTCGAACTCGGAATTGAGTTTCATTTTTTTATACGCGTCGCCAACGAACCCCTCTATTCAATGATGCTTTTATGACCAAATTATTCTTGAAATACTATTCTCCCAAAGCTTATGATCAGCACACCAAAGACGTGCTTCGCGCGACTTCGCATTTTGGGCCCGTTCAAGCTTGTCCAAACATGGAATTGAGTTTCGCTTTTCTCTACATGTCGCGAACGAACCCTTCTACTCAACCATGGTTACCCGGTCAATTTTCGGGCCAAATTTGTTCTTCACGGAGCTTCTAACCTGCACACTAAAAACAAGAAGAAAAAAAAAACACACGACCCAATAAACTACAAAAACGAATAAAACCCAACGAAAAGTTCTAAAACGGGAAAAAAATAGTGACAAAACAATAGAAAAAAACGTAAAAAAATAGAACAAACACTTGCCAAAACTCCATCACTACTAATTTTTAATTTTTTGTCAATTCAAACGTTAAGGTTTTTGGAAAGTTTGAACTAGTAGTGATGGAGTTTTTGCAAGTGTTTATTCTATTTTTTTTACATTTTTTCTTTTCTTTTTCACTATTTTTCTCTCATTTTAGAACTTTTCGTTGGGTTTTATTCGTTTTTGTAGTTTATTGTGTCGTGTGTTTTTTTTTTTTTTGTTTTTCTTCTTGTTTTTAGTGTGCAGGTTGGAAGCCCCGTGAGGAATAAATTTGGCCCGAAAATGAACTGGGCAACCATGGTTGAGTAGAAGGGTTTGTTGGCGACATGTAGAAAAAAGTGGAACTCAATTCCAAGTTTGGACGAGCTCGAACGGGCCCAAAACGCAAAGTCGCGCGAAACACGTCTTTAGTGTGCTGATCATAAGCTTTGGGAAAATAGTATTTCAAGAATAATTTGGTCATACAAGCATCATTGAATAGAGGGGTTCGTTGGCGACGCGTAGAAAAAAAGGAACTCAATTCCGAGTTCGAACGAGCCCAAACGAATCCAAAACGTAAAATCATGCAAACCGACTTAAATACTAAGTACCAAATTCGCAAAAACATAAAGATCGAGTTGTATTTTACAATAAATAAAGAATAGGTATGAAAATCATTACCCCATATTACAATTACAAGTACTACAATAACAATTACCCTTTTTTTTCTTCTGGGAAACACCAAACATCATATAATAGAGAAAATTCGTGATCAGTTTTAGTATTACCCAACCACCACCACCACCGCAGCAGCAGCTCAGCAGCTCCACCGTCCTCCGCCGTGCCAGTAGGTGAACTTTTCAATACCTCACACTTATATCGCTACTAACCTCCGTCTTTTCTACACCGCAAACCCACCGAAAATATCTCCTTCCTTTGATCTTTTCAAACAGCAACAAACTTGGTCAAGCTTGCCCTTTTCTCTATCCTACATGATAAACCAGCCGAAAAAAAAAAGTTAATAATAGGGTTCCTTTTTTAGATGCATTTTTTTTTTCTTTTTTCTTATTTTCAAGTTTTGCCAGTGTGCATTTTCTGGCTGCTTCTTGGGCAATATAGTTTATTAAAGTTTACTCTGAATTTTCATTGGCCTTGGGCTCTGGTTCAATAGATCGGGCCCTTGGTCTAGCTACTCGCTTTCCTTGCTTTTTTTCTTTTCCCCATTCAAAAGCGAGTTGCATCCCTCTTCAAGATTTCAACTTCTAAGATCTATCTAGATTTAGCTCAGTTTTAGCTTTTTTTTGGTGAAAAATATGCTAGCTTTGTTGCTCTTGATTTATTGAATTTCCTTTGTATATGTGGTTCGGCTAGCACAGGTGCTCACTACAGTAGAGAAAATAGAAGATTGAAGAATTTGCAGCTGTTAGGCACTTGAGCTATAAGAAATCAGCTGTTGAAGACATTTTTTAGCTCAAGATGTAGATTTTCTTATTTTTGTTGCAGTCGAGGGTGCTGATGCTTTTGGCTGTGAATTGAGACAGTGAAGATAGATTTGTCTTGTGGGTACAAGGATCTAATCCAGACGAGGAAAGCGAATTATTAATTATAGTTTAGATACGTTTTGGTGGTTGTGTACTTATTTACATAATCTTTCGGGATTACCACGAGTGGGCTCAGTGAACTTCATAAATTTACGGAAGTAGGTGATCCGGTGTGTGCAGTGGGTGGGAAATCAATCCAATTGCTTGAAAGAGGCTTTTTGAGTTGTTCTGCTCAAGATGATTGATCAATTTATCAATTTTGTGATTAGGCCACCCAGGTATGTTTTATCCTGCAATTTTTGGTTTTTTGTTTTCATTTAATTTTGTCTTAAGCAGCTTTCTCTGAATTGCATGCAAGTCGATGAAATTTAGACAGATTAATGCTCAAGTTAGTTTCTTGACAGTAGCTACCATCGCCAACACACACAAAAAGGAAATAAAAAGGATAAAGAAAGAAAATGAAAATGTTGATTTACTCCTTACATGGAAGATTTTGGTCCGGCAGTTATTTTTGTAATTTTTGTTTGTTTTTACCTATGATTAACTTAGGTTGGTCATACAAATTGCCCTGACACAGGATTTCTGATCTTTCAATGTATTGAGCAGCTATCCTTCTAATAAATGTAATATTCTGTGCTGGACATGCATGCATAACTAGTGCTCTTTTCTGTTCCAATGGACGTTTCTGAGCGATTTTAGAAAGGGTTGCCTACAATTCACCTATAGTGATGAGATAAATTCTTTTAGGTTTAGTTTATCTCTCCTCGGCTACCTTTTGGTACATGGCCAATGTGGTTCGATTAGAGTGTATATAGCAACACAACATTTTTTCTATTATGGACTTTGTATGTCTCGTGTTACTAGTATATGTTTGAACCAAGTTTCATCTTTTTGTATGTGCATCTAGTTTTATGCTATGTACTGAACAACTCAGCTTTGTCCATTTATGTTTATGGTGTGAACCTTAAAATTGTTTAATATCTTCAACTTATATTCTTTTCCTCTGGATATCGGATAGTTTCATATCCAAACTTCTATGAATTTGTCTATTTGATGGCAAAACCTTTATTGTTTGGCGAATTTTCATAAACATGTAAAATGTGCTCAGTAACAACGTTGCTAGCTTTATAAATTTACTTTGATTCAATCTGCTATGGACTATGGTAACAGGGCTGATTACAACCCGGATCAGTACTTGTGGGAGAAGGAATTTACTCTTGCAGGGAGGAAGTATAAAAGAGAAGACGTGGAGGCAAGTATGGGCATCAGTTTAGAAAAACCAGCCTCTAACATTGAACTAATGCAATGTATCTTTATGTACAGTTCTGAAACTATTTATCATATGAAGTTTTGAGAATTTGTCTCTTTAAAAATTTTCAGCTTAGAAATGAAAGAGGTCATGCCTTGAAGTGTAGCCATTACATTCCTTTGCAGCTCCTGGACGACTCCCCTCTTCCTTGTGTTATATATTGTCATGGAAACAGGTCTTTTATTCTCTTAAAATTATATTTGTTAGTATTTCTTGCTGTTGTGTAGAATCTACTTTTTTGCAAATGTACTTCCTCATTTGTATGATGTGTGACATCAATAGAACGGTTTTGCCTATGAGGAGATGATAAATACTCTGAAGAGGCACCACTGCATTAGTGCTTTTGGCTAATTCTGAAACTATTCATTAAATTTACAAAATCTATGTATGACCAATATGAAAAAGGATTGCACTAAAATTTTTAGTTAGTGTCCTATTCTGATGGCTCACAGATTAGGTTTTGGCTTGATAGGGTTGTACAGTAATGAATAATAATGCTCAATAAAAATCACTTATTTAGGATGTTCATTTATTTAATTTCTACAACATAGAAAGGGCATTTTCAGGAGCCATGTGGAATATCTGCTGGCATCATCAAGATCCACCAACATTGAGTGTCATTAGGGTGCAAAGATCAATTGCTCAAGCTGGAAGGAATCACTGAATGGAATCAACCAAAGCATGAATACTTTAATAAATAGGCTAAATTTATACATTTTTAGGTAGATAGAGGGTAGCTAAGTTTGGCAAAGGCATGCATAAGATGAAGAACATGGTAGAGAATACAGATACAAGAATTAAACACACGCTATATGCTTAAGTTGTTGTGCATCCCAATTCTCCTATTTTATGACTATTTGTTATCAAAAGATACATGTTTATGTGGAAGTATTCGGTTAGAGAATGATATACTCATTCAACCGTACAACTTAGTCGATCTTAACGTTTCATTTTTTTTCCTTTTCATGCAGTGGATGTCGAGCGGATGCAAATGAGGCCGCAGTAGTTCTTCTGCCTTCAAATATCACTGTATTCACTCTTGATTTCTCTGGTTCTGGCTTGTCCGAAGGAGATTATGTTAGTCTTGGTTGGCATGAGGTACATTTTTTTTCTTTCTTTTTTGCCTTCTTTTGTTCTTTCTTTTCTTCATTCTTGCCTCCTTCTTCCCTCTTGAGTCTTCTAAATGATTAGTGGGTTGCATGATATATGTAAAATTTCCTGTCTGAATTTTTGAAAAATGACCTGGAGGTCGTGCTATCATATTCATCGTTTTCCCTCTCCAGTGTTCTAAATTGACTTGTGGGTTATATGAATGATGTAAAATTTCCTGTCTGATATTCAGAAAAATGACCTCAAGGTTGTGCTATCATATTTGAGAAGCAACGAGAAAGTTTCTCGTATTGGTCTATGGGGAAGGTCAATGGGTGCAGTGACAAGGTTGGTGGTTTTCTCTGTGGCTTATTGTCATGCTGACAATTCATTATCTCCCGGAAATCTTGCTATGCTAATTTTCTACTTCATTTTTTGTTTCATGTTTGTTTCCTAGTTTTTCTTTTTCATGATTCCGCTGGCCATATAAATAAGAATTTGGTAAAATTCTTGGATAACCATACTTGTAGAGTTGTAGTTGTTTTAGGACAGTTCAATCTGAAAGGAATTGGGCTGGCTATAAATGCTTGGACTCGTGCAATTTCTTTCTGGACCTTTGAAGACAAATATTCATTTTGTCATCCTTAAATATTCAGAAAAATGGGAAGTAATACATTATTCTAGTTTAAAAAGTGGTAGCTAAGTCTTTGACATCCAGAAGTAAATAACATAGATTATTCTCTGGAAACAAATGGAGATCATGGCATGGCATGCTAACTTTTAACTTATCAACCTCTAATTTTCTGATTTTAGCCTCAAGTTAATCTTGATTTAGATTACATGACTTGTAGTTTTAATTCTTTTGTTTCATTTATTTATGTTTTGATATGGTATTCTGATGGGACTCCTTTTCATTACAATGGAACATTTACAGAAACTATCTACCTGATACTAATTCTTTCGTCTAATGTACTGCAGTCTTCTTTATGGAGCAGAAGACCCTTCTATAGCTGGAATGGTATTGGACAGTGCCTTTTCTAATTTGTTTAATCTCATGCTGGAACTTGCTGATGTGTACAAAATCCGGCTTCCTAAATTTACCGTAAGCCCCTTCTGTTATTATCTTCTTCCCTTGAAACTTAAGTAGTGTGTTCACATAGAGGACACAAGGAGGCCTGTTTATTTAGTTCTATGCTATGTCTATTTTTGACCGGATTTGGCTTTGATAATTTACTTTAAGTTTAATAATTTGCTTGAGACTTTCTCCAGTTGCTTAATAGTGTCCACTAATGCTAGATCATTCCTTCAAATTAGTTACTGTCACCTCTTACCAATACAGGTCAAAATGGCTCTTCAGTACATGCGGCGAGTAATCCAGAAAAAGGCCAAATTTGATATCACGCGGCTTGATTGCGTAGAGGTCTCTCTAATCAAAGCAACCATTTAGACTTTTTTAATCATCCAAAGTTGATTTTTACTCTCTCTCTCTCTCCATCTCCCTCTCTTTAGCACACTATAAGTCAGTACTAAAGAGCTTTATTAATAATATTCTTGTACTAATACACTTGAATTTACTGAAATCGGCAGGTTGCTCCAAAGACATTCATTCCAGCTTTATTTGGACACGCAAAAGACGACAAATTCATTCAGTCTAGGCACTCAGATGCTATCTTCAAGTCATATGCGGTTTGGAAACATTCTCTAGGTCTGTTTGTCACCAAATTGGTGTGCCGTGTGTTAAAAAAATTTCCTCAATATTGGTGCAGGGTGATAAAAATATTATCAAGTTTGAAGGTGATCATAACTCATCAAGGCCTCAGTTTTATTACGATTCCGTATCGATTTTCTTCTACAATGTTCTCCGTCCTCCTCGACCTCCATCTGCATATTCATCAAAGATAGATAAATATTATGATCTGGGGGGCATGAAGGTCGGTTCTAGTGTGGAAGAGGTAATTTCTGCCTCATATCTTCATTAGATTGTCAAAATAAGGCATCATTAATAATTAACAGAGGTTTGTAGCATTTATCTTCACTAGATTGGCCTGATTCTTTGATCCATATCCAGTCATTAGCCACGTTGAGCATTTATTTTCTGTAGATTTTCTTACTTTACCTTTTCCCTCTATATGCAGCTAATGATTTTTTATTTTTTATTTTTATTTTTATTTTCCCAGAATATTTTGTATGAGATTATAGCTGGGCTCCGGAATGTTAGTGCTGACGCACCAAGTTCTTCTTCGGCACCACAAACTGTTTCATCTATGAAGTCTGTGGGGGAACTGCTTTCCGACATTGCACCTATTTGTAATGTAAATTTGCGAAATCCCTCTTTCTTTTTTTCTTGTTCTCTTGGCTACGTCCGCCTTAATACCCAGAGATACTTAAACACAGAGCGCTGCTGATTTTTGAGTAATTACTAAATACATAATTAGCCCATAGAAGTTACAAAATACATTAAAGATAATAAAAATGGTGAAAACATTTGTTGTAGATACATATTTAATTGATTGTGGTTTTTCATATTTTTATCATAGTTGTGATGTTCAAGTCTATTTATAAACCTCGCAAGGGTACTCATTACTTGTTTAATACAGGAAGCCTTGGATATTGAAGATGCTGAGCTTCATGAAAACGGGGCATCTCTAATACAGGTACTGTTTGCATCTGTTGCTTGTTTGGGTGAGAAGCCCTATTCAACTCTGCTTGCTTTTCCGAATATAAAACGCTCGATTGTCTGTTGATTTAGGACAAATCGAGTGGGCAAAATGAAGAGTATTGCTCCTACACGAGCTCGAACAGAGAAAGTTGGGGAAGGTGCTCGTCTCTGGGCAGCGATGATGTACCTTCCATGGAGTGTACAAGCAGCAGCAACTGTGATCAGGTTTCTCTCTCTCTCTGGATAGACCAAAAAAAAAAATTGACAGCAATTTGTGACAACAAAATAGTTGCAGAAACACGAACACTAAATGATACTAGACATGAATTCTTGATTTCACGATAAGTTGCAATAAAAATACGAAGTTATATTCATAATCTAATGTGAAATATAACACAAACACAGTCCATCAATAAAATAGCACATGATAGCATGTATTCCACCATCAAAGGCAACAACTTTGGGACTAAAGGCTACTTCAATTGATTTCTTCCCCAATTTTTTTTTTCTTTTTAATTCGTTATTGTGGTTCTTTATTGCTTGTCAATGAGCAAGTTTACTTGTCAATTAGCAGACAACTATAAACGTGCTGGCAACGCCGCTTAGGAATTCTCAACAGGACACCTTAAATGTTCAGAAAGAAGGTAGCAGCAAGCAGAAGAAAAAGAAAGGTTTGGAAACAAAGAAAAAGTCGAGACGTGAGAAGTTTGAGAAGCTGGAAGCTCTAAGCCAGCGTATCCGTCTTTGCATCCTCAAGCGAGTTAATCATAGAAGACACTGCTCATCATAACTCACTCTCTCCCCCTTTGTTGTAGATTAGGATCGATCATTTGTTTTTATTATTCGTTTGTCTAGTTGGCCATCTTCCCATTTTTTTGTTGTGATTATTTCCCTTAATTTCTGTTGCATTGTGTAAGAAAAGCCAAGTATGATAATGTTACTGCACCATGCCATGTGTATGGTTTCTGAACATAATATCGCGTAGCCGTCTAGTAGTGTTCTTGTTTCTCGGATCACATGAAGAAAAAGAAAAGAAAGAAAGTACCACAGATCAGTTCAAATAAAATATGAACTAGAATGAATTGCTCAAGGAATTGAATTATGAACCAAACAAGATATGTATGCATCTTAAAACGTGGACTATGAAACAAGCTATAGCCTATAGTTATATGCCCTCGCAAAGACCTACTTTAATTTCCTCTTTGTATTTGCTCGACATCAAGAATACGGTAAACACAACTTCCCAATAACGCACTAGAATGAATAAAGTGTTACCAAAGGAGTACAAACAACAGATTTTTCACACACCGGCAAAGGAAAATCCTAACCGTGATAACTGTTAATAAAACCATGCACAGGGTCTACATACACTGCTTTCACAAAGCTACGATATATCAGTCATTAAAGTCATTCACCCACAAACAAAAGATTCCAAACAAGGTCCTGACAGTTAACTCTTCTAAAACCTAACATCCGAACAACCAAATAAGGTTTCGATGCATTTGCATATATTCAGGAAGTGAACACGAGACGATCAAGCAATCAATCACAAGTGATTCCCACTGCTGGCTGGTAATTCTGATGAATGATTATCAAACTGTTCTCTCATTGGGAAAAGCGGGTGGGCCTGTTGGTAAGGTGGGCTTAAGCTGGACTCCAGTATTGAATGTGTCATCACCATCTGTGGCTTCGTAAATGTCACATCCGCATTCAGACGCTGCTTTTTGCCTGACCTCTCGTTCGGGCTATCGAATTGACAGCCAGAATCTGGAGTTAGCGGCTCATGATGAGAGGAAAATGATTCATCCAGAGAAAGGCTTTTGGCGGAGGCACGTTCTTTGACGGGCTTGTCCAGCGGTGACTCAGATATTGGGCCTGGAGTCGGTGGGTCAGTTTTGTTATCAGAATTTGGGCCATCCTCGGGCCCAAGGGCTGGGGCCCCCAGGTCAGGGGAATCCGAGAGAACACCACCGAGACACTGTTGTTCTTCGATGATCTTTTTCAAGTACTTTCCTTGGGCTTCTATCCGCAACTGTAACTGCCTTTGTACCTGTAATATCGATCATCAGTCTCCCTGATATACATTTATCTTATTTCCATACAAGCAAGTACATAATTGCTGTTATTACCAGATCATACTCTTGGCAATATTTAAATTGAACAATTAGTGAAGTTCATATGACGTATTTTTGGCAGGTAATAAATGCTGATTATTGAACAATCGCTGACAGAGTTCGACGCCCTTATGAGAATCGAATTCACAATGAAGCAGAAAATCGTATACCTCCAATTGCTCATGCAGCCGTTTCTGAACCTCCATCTGCAGTTTCAGTGCTTCAGTTATTCCACTACGAGGAAGAACAATTTTCTTAGTAACAGACAATATTATAATAGAAATAACTCAGAGCAATTGGGTAACAAGGAGATCAGATAATCAACAAAAGAAATAACAAATAATAAGATATCTGAACTCAGAAGACTACAGGGTGGTATCTCAAAATAATGCTATTAGGCTATATCCTGTTACTCCTATTAAAAGGAAAAAGTTCGTGGATAATTCAAGAATTTCACAAAAAATAAAAAAATAAAAAAAAAAAATGATAAAGGAACTTCCACTTACGGTGAACCATCCATGCTGGAATGAGTGTCTCCGGATTCTTTCTTTTCGGGTTTTTTGCCTTGCAAATCAAATCAAGTCAAGATTTATCAATAAATGAGAGCCCAAGGAAAATTCACCCCAACAAATTCAATTCGGAGGAAGATTTATCAATAAATGAGAGTCAATAAATGACCTACCATCAGAGGAAGAATCTGGAAGATACTTGGCAAGCCGGTATTTCTGTTTGTGACAATACAAATTAGTTAAATGCAACGGAATGAACGAACATGTTCACACCACTGTGAAATAAATTATGTGGCATAATTACCTGCAAGTGGCTTTTTACATGGTAAATCGTTAACCCCTGGACTCCCATGACTCTGAGAACACCTTTAGGAGTAGCTCCTGAAAAAGAACAAATAATGTGTTTGATATTATCATATATGAAAGAAGCTCCTCCAGACATTGAGCATCAAAGTCCTTAAAACTCAGCCTTCAAAATAATACTGCAAAAAAGTCCCTGAAAGTTTTGGAAATTGGAAAGCAGAAAACAAATGTTCTCTCTTTATTGCTTAGATATGAAACCTGCAAAGCTGACATGTACACAAAATATAAGCTCAAAAAATCAATCTACATGCATGGACCATGGTAGAAATTCTGAAGATAAAAATACATATCCAACAAAAAGACAAAATACAAAAGATTCCAAATGGAAAAAGACTCACGATCTGGCCCTCCAAGTTGCGCCACAGCATCAACAAATCTTTCGTGAAGCTCGTGTGTCCAACGAAGCCGTTGCTTAGAGGCCAAATTTGGATTGCTACTTGCATTGTTAGCTCCACTGATAGGATCCATCACGCTTGCACCACACTCTATTGGCTGACTCCGAATAACCTGGTTTCCGTGAACTAAGCTTGGACTAGGCACACCCTTGGGCTGGTACATATTTCATTAATCTACAGCAG